GAGAGGCAGCTGGCCCAGCTCATTTGCATACACAAATGAGGAATCGGCAACGCTGCGTGGGGCCTGTGCCAGCAATCTGGAAGTTTCTCAGATGATGGTGGAAGCTTGTTAGCACCCAGGTCAGATGGGTCTTCCATGTGGTCATCAGAAGAAGGGGCAGCTCGTGGTGAGGCTTCCATCTGGGGCCTGTTTCACGAAGCAGGATTACTTTCTTAGCCAGATAACTTGCCAGATTTAAGGTAGTCTGGGCTAAATGTAAGTTGATGAAAATAAGGTGTATTTAGCCCAGACTACCTTAAATCTGGGAAGTTATCTGGCTAAGCAAGTAATCCTGCTTTGTGAAACAGGCCCCCAAACAGGAGAGGGAGTTGCCCACACCCATCATCAAGTTTGGCCAGACTGTCTTTCCTCTTCTGTTAGCTAAACTCTGTAATCTGTTACGGTTTTCAAAGCCAAATTTCTTCCGCTTCAGAAATCGCGGACATACATAGACAAACGCAGAGGCTGCAAATGAATCCGAACGAGTCGCAAATGATTTGTTTAGCTCAGATGTTTTAAAAACCGTGCACCATGCACCTCAACAGTCTGAGTCCAGGGTGGTGTTTCTCAAAACCTTCATAGTGTTACGATTTTGTAACTTCAAAGAGAGATTTCAGTGTGATGACCCTGACAGATTTTGTAGGCTATGCCGCTGATGTCTTAAGGTCCTAGCAATGCCGTTGGACATACACTAATCCTGCTCTGTAAAACAAATTTATGTTTCTTGAATTAACTCAAACTGACCAATTAGATACAATTTTATGCCTGACCATAAATAATGCAAAATGCCTGTTTTTCTCATACACTTTCTTATTGAGGGACACACCTGTCACCTAACTGGCTGTAATAGTTTTCTCCTCTGAAGCTCCCTTCACCTCGAATATGAACATTCATCTGTGTTAAGAGAACTGATACAGCAGTTAATCGGTGGCAGCCCCTTACAGCCGATTCTCTTAAGCCTGAGGTGGCGTCATGCCGCGAGGAATCCGCGGTTCTCATTCCCGTGGATCTCACGGTTGCCGGAGGCTCGGTCAGCCGAGAGAGACTCCAGGTCTCGGGGCGGCCATAATGGAGCAAATGAGCCGGTTCCGGGTTGCGGCACCCGACGCGTTCCTTCGGCTCTGATGCCATGCCAGAAAACGTGGTGACGGACGTATTCGTTGTTTGCATACGGACTGCTGAGTCATGTTCTCGCTACTCCCTCACCACTCCCTCCTCTGATTTCCCAGCAGGCCCATGGAGCGGGCGTGGTAGGATGAGGATCCCGACTTCGCGCTGCAGGGACATCGAGAGGCAGGCCGGCTTCCTCCAGCCCGAGCAGTGCGCCCCACCCCCTCTGCACGGCCCCCCCGCCGCCATGTGGTTCATCAGGGACGGCTGCGGCATCGTCTGTAGCGTTATCACCTGGATGCTGGTCTTCTATGCCGAGTTCGTGGTGATTTTTGTCATGCTGCTGCCCTCAAAGAGCCTGACCTACAGCCTGGTCAACGGGGGCCTCTTCAACGGCCTGGCCTTCCTCGCGCTGGCCTCCCATTTCAGGGCCATGTGCACCGACCCGGTAAGCCCTAAGGTCCATCTCTTCTCGATTTATCTTCATCAAACTTCACAGTTTGCCAGCCTTGTTTCTGTTAGAAGGTTTTTTTTTTTTAATCCCCAGTCGTTTCAGCAGCATTTCCTGCAGTAGTTAGGGTCCCAACGATGACTTTAGCCCTCACTCCCCTAAATTTCAGTCCTGTCCACTTTCTTTTCTTCTCCCAGAAGCAGATGGTAAAGTGTAGAGTCTGAAAGTAATTGTCAGTTAACCAAAACCAGCCAAGCAGGCTGTAGAAGGAGGTGTGGTTGGTAGAAGGAGGTGTGGTCGGTGTGAAGAGATGTGACAGTGGTTTCAAAGCCTGATGGTCTCAGTTCATCTTCATAGGAACAAAGGGTTGATGCTCCACTATATGACCAAGTAATATGAAGTTGGTCGGCCCACTGTTGCTGTAAGAGCCTCTCCTATGCTTTCTGTTGGGATTTGCTGCCATACAGGTTGGGTATTGATGCTGGGTGATCCGGTCCCGTTCTGTGAGCTTGTGTGGCTGCGACTTTGTGGCTGAACTTGCTCCCAGATGTTTTCACTTCAGTCACTTCACTTGTGGCCAACCAAGGCATCTCTAACAGGGCAGGAAAACTGACTTGTTGGAAAGACGGCGTCCAAAATGGTGCCAAGTGGAAAGTCGTTGACCTCTTCTGTATAACCACCCATTCCGCTGCTAATGCTTGTTGCAGAAAATTGCATGACTGTATGCTCAGTTGTCAGCAATCGGTATAGTTTAATTAGGCAATCAATATGGGTGCTATCTACCCTTGGCTGAATAGTATATCAGTTGGGTTAGCAGATGTGAGCACCACGATCTGCTCTCTGTAGGGCGCCGTGCCGAAGGGGAATGCCACAAAGGAGTTTATCGAGAGCCTGCAGCTGAAACCTGGCCAGGTGGTCTACAAGTGTCCCAAGTGCTGTAGCATCAAGCCAGACAGAGCCCACCACTGCAGGTAAGACTCCACACTACTTCCCCCGCCCCACCTGCCCCCCAAACACACCACTGCAGGTAAGACACTATCCTGACCCTCCTAGACATGCAGGTATAAGTCCTTTGGAACACCCCCTCAGGGCAGCCTGTGGTTGAGGGGTCATGGTACCTGGGCCTCCCCATACTGCGGAAGCGGCCTGGTTTCACGTGGAGATGTGTGGCTGAGCTCCTCAGCGTGCCCTCTGGTGACAGCTGTGTGTTTCCTTCGTGTGTATTTTCATTCATATACTGCCGGTCTGCATTATAGGTCCTCAGTGATGTCAGTGGATCTGGCAGCTTGCCACCACTCTCCCTTGTGGATGGGTATGACTCAGCAACTGGCTGTGGTTTGGGGGGGGGGGTGCGCCCTCACTGCAGCATAAGGTCTGACGGAGCTGCCCCGTGCCGGCTGCATTGAGATCTCTCCTCAGTGCATTTCCAGTTCTGGATCACTGTAGTGTGCTACATGGAAGAATTAGCAAGGGGTGGAACATCCCGTAAATCATGGATGGATGGATGGATGGATGGAACGAACTTTTCCCCTTATAATGCTTAACTGAGACATATTGCCGCCTCGGATTGAGTTATCATTGTTCTCATCGAGATCTATGAAAGTTTAAGCCCTTCTCCATACTCAGTCTCATCAGGAACAAAGCCAGCGCAGATCATCCCCTAACTAGCTGCTTCACTCCTGTAAGGGACATTTGTCCAGTGAGATCTCAAGTTGTTCATAATGCGATGTGAGTTGTGCCCACCCCTTCCTCATGCCTGACTCTGCCTCGCTTCTACACGCCAGTGTCTGTAAGCGGTGCATACGGAAGATGGACCACCACTGCCCCTGGGTCAACAACTGCGTGGGCGAGAACAACCAGAAGTACTTTGTACTTTTCACAGTGAGTGTCACCTGCCAGATGCCCCCCCCCCCCCAACACTCGTACGACCTTATGGACCAGTGTTATCTGTAGATGAACACATCACACACCACATAAATCCATCACCTGACTGCTTTTTGGTTTTACATGTGCTCTGTGTGTTCCAGATGTACATCGCTTTGATCTCTCTGCACTCACTGGTCATGGTGGCTTTCCACTTCCTCTACTGCTTTGAGGAGGACTGGACTAGTAAGTGATTGCACTGTCTTTCATATCTGCAGTGGCCCATTTCTCTAACCACCACCTTTTTTAAAATGGTTCTCAATTGGCAGATTTCCCCTGCAGCCTCATTGTGAAACACATGTTTATGAATCTTATTCTTAATGCAGTATTACTTTTTTTCCAGCTTAGCAAAGGAGCATGTAGAGATTTTAAGTGGCTGGAGGCACAAAGCTGCATGAGGCAGGGTATCTGAGGGACAGATTTTGTCTGAATTCTAATGCACTCCATTTTCCAGTAAGCACAACCCCTCGTGCTTTAATTGGTTAGAACTTGGGGCTGTCACACCATTTCTGTCTTTATGATTGGCTGTTGAAGTCATGGAATGATGCACATTCATCACCATAGTGATAAAAAGCCACATCATACATAACCATTTATAGTCAGTAGGACCAATATACTACCACTAAACAGGAAACAAAGTAAGTGAATCTCCATCTGTGTTTTCTTTCATCAGTTCTATAAAATATCCTATTATGGACATACAATGTAACAGTGTGAGAGAGAGCAGTGAAACCTTACAACACTATTTTTTCTGCCTGTGCTCCATTTTTCTTGTACCCTTCAAATAAATAAAAAAAAAAACCACAACTGACATCAGTGGCTATTAGGACCCGACCTGAGGAGTCCCTCAAAATGCCTGTGTGAAATTAGCTATTTTTCTCAAGGTTAACATGTGAATTCCTACATGAACTTTCTGTGATGGCTGGGATTATGTGACTGTCTTTGGCGCTTAAAGAAATTAATGATGTTCTTTAATCTTATGTGTTTATAAAGTGCTGACACAAGTAGTAAATGATTTACTGCTGTTTATTATTGTTGTACATCTGTGCATGTTACAGATATTTTTTTTTGATAGAATTCTTTTAAAACTGGGTCAGGAATGCAACATAATTTAAAATTTAAAAATCAATTCTGACAAAATATTATATGGATTCTGAGAAGGTCTTGGAGGCCTTTGAGTATACCTATGTGCTATTTTGTCTAGAGGTGCACCAATCCCATTTTTTACAATCCCAGTACCTGAACAGAGGGTATCGGCCAATATAAGTACCAGTCCGATACCAGAGCTCTCTCTATTAAAAAAAAAAAAAAAAAAAAAAAAAAAAACTAGTAATTTCGAATGGAAAAATAAATGTATGACAAGCTTTAAAAAGTTCGGCTACTAGAAATATTTGTCCATTTGCAGCAAAATTTGTGAACATAAGCTATTTAAAGAAAACAGCAGTTTAAGCAAATAAAATACTAAAACTTCGCCACAGCTCCTCGTGTATCACAAGCTGCAAGTGCAGAAAACATCCCAAGCTAGCGATTCCCAAACCATCCATTGCTTTTTTCATATTAGTCCTGTTGTCTCACACTATTGCGTGCACTTTGTTTAGTAGGATTTTTCTGTTATCCAGTATTTCTCTGATGGCATCTGAAACTGAAGTGCTGGTGTGTGATCCATGAAGTTCTTTAACTTGTGGTGCCACATTCTGAAAGTTGTAGCTTGTAGGCTTCACCCAGGGTTCAGTTATAATTTAAGAGACATGGGGCACACAGCCAAGCTCTGAATATCTGTAGTGAAACTCATCTTATACTTGTTCCTCAATGAGCATAATCAACTCTACAGTGCAGTTCAGGCAAACTGTCTCAGAAATATATTTCTGATATTATCTGATGTTCTTACTCTCCTCTGACTGCAAAGGGTATGCAAATGACATCAGAGAAGGCGGAAGTCACTGCACTCACATGCACTGAGCAAAAAAACTGACTTGAATGCTGCAAAAATATATCTGAAATGGGGGGAAAAAGCTGTCCTGCGATTGATTGTACAAATCGATTTTATAAGAAATAGGAGCTTTTTTTCGAAAACTAAATAAGTAAGTATCGGACGTGGATGAGTCACATATGGCTGATACCCAATCCGTCTAGTAGGTATGATTCGGTGCCAATACCAATCCCGAATATCAGATTGGTGCACCTCTAGTTTTGTCAGTATACTGAAAACAGTTCATTCTTACCCACTCATTCTGCATCTGATGATGGCATTATTCTTAGATCAGCAAAGACAGCTCTTAGAATTTAGCAGAGCCCCTGCTTGCTCCATGAGAAGTGATCAGAGTGACCCAGAGTAAAGGAGGGGCCTATAGAGTAAGCCAAGAATCCTGTGGCTGAATGTGCTCTCTGGCTCCCCCTGGTGTTAAGGTCTGTTTTCCCCTTCTCCAGAGTGTAGTACCTTTTCGCCTCCAGCAACTGTCATCCTGCTCATCCTCTTGTGTTTCGAAGGCCTCCTCTTCCTCATATTCACATCCGTGATGTTTGGGACCCAAGTACATTCCATCTGTACTGATGAAACCGTAAGTGATCCCGACCTGACCTCCTTTGTCTTCTCACCCCCTTTGAAATCCCCGACCCCTTAACCACACAGCCTGCTAAGGTGACACAAGGCAATTTCATTTGCTGCCACACTGTGGCGCTGCACCGGTTGGGTGAGGAACAATGCTCTTCTTAACTTCTCATAGAGAGTATACCAGCGAACCGAATTTTACGTGGAAATTGGGGCTGAACCTGAGCTTGGCCCTTCCATCTCGGCTGCTCTGAACATCAGGCGAGTCAGCTTGGCTGATCTGTGCGCGGCGCCATGAGCTCGAAGTAGAAAAGACGGCAGCCCGATGTGAGATGGCAGCAGAATGGAGCATGAAATCACTGGCAGAAGTCTACAATAAAATGGAATTGAGAGTAAAAGATTCTTTATTAAATGTGGTGGTTTTGAGCAGTTGGCGCTGGATACTGGAGGTTAGCTGTGGCTGGCATGCAGAGGTCGGCGTGTCTGTGCTGAAGTTTAATGAGAGTCATACGTGCCTTTGTGTCCTTGAGTGAGAATGTCTGTCCAGAATCTGCTGTTCTCCCTGGATGGGTCTTTGTATAAATTTCCAGTACTGCTAATTCTTTGTGTTTCGGAAGACATGGATGTTATTTTCGAATTGAGCTCCCAAGCTGTGGGTGTGGCTTAGTGTAGGTATCACGCAGGATTCTGCAGGTGTGCTCCTGTGGACAGTGTGATTGTCTCAGCCATAAATGAAAGCATTTCAGCCTTGGGGTCTGTGCAGTCTGGACCCAGAGAATATGTTGGCATTCCAGCTCTGTTCGAACGTCCAAAAACGTAATTGTTGAGGGAGAAGGCTGAGCCGATTAAGCTGGGCATACGCTGTGCGATTTTCGGCCCATTTTGAGCCGATTTTCCACCCGTGCGATAATTCCTGGAGTCGGGCCGAATTTCAGCTTCAGTGCGTCGTATATCGTGTAGTATACAGGATGTAAGGAGCACCGATTCACCCCTCCCGACCAGCAATCGGATGATCGTTAGAAAATCAAACCTGTTTGAAATTTTGGTCGCCCGTCGTGGGGATATTGCACTGTCTAAGCAGAGTCACAAGCCGACTCACTTCAACCTGGGTGGGTTGTCCTCACTGCGCACGTGTGAACACAGTACTGAAGTACTGTACTCAGAAATGAGATTAGGTATATGCGCACACTTTCCTGTTGCCGTATTGTAACAGAAAGCCTGTCCTTGGGGCTGATTGCCTTTCTTAGGTAGGAATCCCTCTTTATGATATGTGGAGTTACCCTCTCCTGGAGGAAACTGAAGTCCTCCACAGACATTCTAAGAAGGTCCCGGAAACCCTTCATATCATCCATCTATTTACACAAAACTTATATTAATAGAGCAAGGCAGTATTGGTGTTGAATGTTGTTATAGCCTGTTGTCTGAAACTGATTGGTGGTGGGATCTTGTGCTACAGACTAAACACAACTTTGAGATTTATGGGCTGTGATAAATTGCACTTGAATAAACACAACATAACTGGCCTGAACGTTTGAACAAGCAAGCAAGCAAGAACAAATAGGCATGCTATTGTTCGCACTACAAGTTCTGTGTAGGTATCAGGCTATCTGCAATGTAATTTATCTGTCGCTGTTTACCTCCAGTTCTCGTTGTAAAATGGACAGTCCCTATTGTCCACGTCTTCCCAGCCATCTTTGTGTCGCCTCTTCTTTTGGGATTTTTCTGCGCACAAAATCGCACAAATAGCCAAAGTAGCGCGTTTCGCTTTGGTGAGCATCGCCACTGATACAGGTTCTTCTTCTTTAGCTTATTTTTCGACGTTTACAGTTCCGGGTACGAGAGTCTGACGTGTTCATATTGCTCGTGTGTAGTCAGGTCGCATCCGAGTATCGGAGCGTATAGTGTGCGGACATAAATCATGAGCTTTGCCTTTTCATCGCATTAGTTGTACAATTTGAGTTTGGTGTTTACAAAACAACTGGGAAAAATCGCACAGTGTCTGCCCTGCTTTAGAGTGGCGACCGGCCCAATTGACCAAGACCAAGGCTTAGAGCCGCCTTCTGCCGTGAGTCCATATCCTCCAGGACCAGTACCATGAAGGAACCTGTGGGAGATGGGCACTTTTTTGATGACCAAGACCAAACCCTTGCTCTCACAGGTCTCCCCGTATCGTCTGTCTTCACCACTCTGCTCTGCTGGTTTCTTTTATAGTGTAATTACGGTCGTAGTTCACTTTATTCTGGTGGTGTATGGTTTGCCTTAACGAGAGTTCTCTCTGAGACCACACGTGAGGGAGGGGGGTTATTAACTACCTTAATTAAACCTCCAGCTGTGTGACTTTCAGTATAATTTATAGTCAAAGCCTCCCCATATTTATTTGATGATAATCCTCCGGCATTCTGTCCTTTTCCTTTCAGTACAAAGTTACATTCTGTGCATAGCTATTATAGGACAAACTCCTGAATGGATGCATGGATGTCGTTAGCGTCGTAGCAGCTCATACGGTGTGAGACCGTTCTTCGTCCTCCACAGGGTGGCGTATCCGGTACCTTGTTACAGGTGTTTGTCGGTAGTTCCTAAAGGAAGCGAGTGTCATTTTTGTCTGTAGTATTTCCTACCTTTGGGGAACGTTTGTTTCTTCAAGCTGTGTATGTGCTCCATTTCTCTGAGAACGTGTGATCAGGCTTTAGAGAAGAATTCCATTTAAAGTTGTCAATTTATATATTTAAACCAACAGTTGAGTGTATGTACTGGTACTCAAGATCCTTTTCGTAACAGCAAAGACATTAATTTGACCAGAGTACTGTTGAGAATAAAGCAGACTTTTCTGTTTATGTACATTCCCACTCTGTCGATGTTTGTCTTCATGATACCGTGATACATGATACCCTCTGCTAGCGTTGGGAGGAGGGGTAAGTGCCTTGGATGTTCTGTGCACTGTGACATCATCGTAACCTCATTGAGAGGCCCTGTGGGGGCTGCTCCTGGCGTGTTTATGAATAAAACCCTTCCTAACCCCCTGCTCACTCTCTCCCTGTTTTTTTCTGTCTCCTGCCTCCTGCTACTTGGCTAACTCTCACACAAGGGTCGGCATTGGACCTTGGTGCAACAGAACTTTCAAATAGCGCCCTGGTGCGAACAGTGGATCAGTCATGGATTGCGGTCATGGATTGCAGTCTTAAGCATTTATTTTTAGCTATGTCATGTACCCAAATATTTCACTAATCAGCATTAGTTGGTTTGTTTGGCTTGCCCACATTGACCCTTCAGTTAAAGTAACGGACTTGTCATTATCACAACTTGGCTGAGGGTGTTGATCTGCCATATATTTCACGTAATTCTGTAACCACTCCAAGATGAATAGTTGATTTGGTTCACCTGGAATCATACAGTACATGTCTGTCTGTTGCTTATTGAAAGCACCAGCGCAATTGGACAAAAGGGTTTAAGTTTCTTGAAGTTATGTCAAGCTATAGAATACATGATGAACAACAGGGCGAAAGTATGAAAGATGTGATCATCATTTCACACAACCGCGCCTTTTAAAAATACAAATCCTGATGCTCAGGTTCTCCTGGGTAAACTTTTCGGTCTTTTTTGACATTGAGATTGGGACTCTTTTTAATGCTCATGGGAGTCTTACTTACACAAAAATGTTCTGTGGGTACAACAGAAATGATTGGTTCAGAGATTCAGATTTTTGAGGAGGTGGGTCTAAGCAACTAGAGGAGGTGGAACCAACCAATCAGATGTTTTGGTCACACCTCCTTTAGTTACTTTGACCCACCTCCTATGCAATCTGATTGGTTATCTCTCTGAACCAATCATTTTTCATTTTGCCTTCACAATGTTTTTTCTTTAAAAAAAAAATAATAATTCTCACGAGCCATTTTAATAGGTCAGCGACACCCTGCTGGGTTGAAATAATGAATATTCATGATTGACATCGACACACCCGTAGATTCCTGGCTGTGTTATTCTTAGGGAAATTCAGAAGTAAAATAATGCGGTTCAAAGCCTTTTCCACAGTCTCTTTTTGATGCTTCAGTTCAAAACATAATTGTTAAAATGCCATATAAGCTGGCATGAGGCTTGCGGTGGAGTCTGAGGCGAAGCCTTCAGAGAGTCGCGGGGTTCGGAAGGTGGAAGTTCTTAGCATTGTAGTGACAGTGACACAGTGATTACTGCTTACTGTTCTCTGACCCTTCCATACTGAAGTCTTGGTTGTCTCTCGTTATTTTCAGGGCATAGAGCAGTTGAAAAAGGAAGAGAGAAGATGGACTAAAAAGACTAAGTGGATGAACATGAAGGTGGTGTTTGGTCACCCCTTCTCGATAGGCTGGCTTAGCCCGTTCGCGACACCTGACCACGGGAAGGCCGATCCGTATCAGTATGTGGTCTGAAGGGCAGAGCCAGCTCAGCCAAGCCCACCCCAGTCGCCCGACCCATACTCAGATACAGACTCACGAGGGCGCTGTTGAGGGCGATGCCGACCTGGATTATAACCTAGACTCAAACTCTTCTTCTCATCTTTTTTAATCTGTGCTTTTATTTTTTTCTCTGTAAACAATCGATGCAGAGTATTAACCTTTCAATATTTTATTTACTTGTCTGCTTGTTTATTCTTTGCCTGAAACTGTGTACTGTTGTTAATTGCAGCACTTCCTCTCTTTCACACTGGTGTCGCTCAAACCCTTGATTGAAAGGATGTCAGAGCACAGGCCCTCTCTGATTGTGACAGCAATGTGTAATGTGATTGTGCGAACGCTCACGAGAACACGGTGAGATTTCTGCTGACTGGAAGTGTGATGTCAGAGCCAGAACTGAGATCCCAAACTTCTTGGCTGGTTGATTCAAAGCCCGGCTTATATGCATGCTCTTTCTGCTTATTGGTGGGACTGGTCTGGTCTACTTACGATTGGGTGTTGTGCTGTCACCATTTGCCAATCAGTGTAGTCTGGCTGATTAGATTGCAGGGCTTTATGACCTCCCTTCAATCTGGGTTTTGATATTTGGCCCTACCATGTGACATGGCGTGAAGTGCAGCTAAAGCTTTCTTGGTGTGCATACGTGAACGTGGATCTGCTCAATGCATAGAGTCCTCGTCACATGACCACCACGATCTCTTCCTTGGTTTCTGTTCCAGCTTGGACCCCCACTCATAGAGCCCATGAATGAATGGGTCGTTGCGTATGCTTTGGCTCTCTGTGCCAGTGACTTGTGCTAAAGTCTGTGAACACACCAGTGTTCTGACCTGTGCAAGCTCCAGTGTGCCACAAAAATGACACTTAATGAAGAATTGAGTTCAAGAATACCACGATGAATCTTGAACTTTTTCCATAGTTGGGAAAATACTGAACTCCATAAGGAGAGCTTGAATTCATCAACTGAACAAGTGTTGCCAATTTTTTTTTGTTTTGTTTTTATTAGTTAATTTTCCGAAACGGGAATTGTGACGTGGTGAGACAGTTTGTGAATTGTGCCACGTTCGCTTTCAAGTGTATAGCTGACTCATCAGCACCTCCTACAGGACTGCCACGGGATGGCTGCCAGTACAGAAATGTTCTATTGTCCTAGGTGGTTTTATTTGCTCTCTGTTATATGGCAATGTGTCACTTGCATTATGTATAGACAGTAATCGGCTTGGCAGGGCTCTCGTCACGGGGGGGCACACGCTGCCCCCAAGGAGTTGTGACTGGTGTGAAGGGAACCGTTATAATTAAAATACCTGCCCTGATTGGCTGGCTTTGTGAAACGAAGAAAACGGGGTGGACAAATATTCGTCGGCTTCATTTTTTTGAAAACATGCCAACACTTTTCTCCTAGTAGATTTGTTTTTCTTGTACCATGGATGTTTTTTCCACTTCCAGCTGGAAAAGGAAATGCTTAGCGCCTTCCTACGCAGGCTTGGAGTCCAGCGCTCTCATAAGGGAATTCCGTTCAGGAGCGAGGTTTAAATACAATATACTCATCCGGAAGTCTCTCCGAGGCTAGCATATTGTGCCATTTGCTGCCTTTCACTTTGAAAGAAAATGCAATAAACTTCTTTTTTCAGCCCTGTCTCCTTCCATCCTTTCCCAGCAATTCCCTGACTGAGTCTCTGCTTCTCAGTGTGCATTTTAGCTCCACTAATTGTTTCATCTCCAGTACGACAGGTGCACCTCCACGTCATCGTAACCGTAACCGTTACATTAACCTGCTCTCTTCCTCCCTTTGTCAGTTATTAAAGTAATAGCTTGTCACCCCTCCCTCCCTTTTAAAGTGACACTATCAGTCGTTGCTGCGTCCTTGCTAAAGCACAGTAGCTCCAGTGATTAACCCCAATGTGGTAAGATGCAGAAGGTAAGATCCAGCATAAGTAGTGGAAATGCTACAATGTAGCTGCATTTAGCTATAGCTGGGTAGATATTTGTCCGATTTTAAGAATCCCGCTGTTTCAGTATATGATGCCCGCATGCTAGTGGAATGTTCTAGAACGAGAGATGACAGGCATGTTGCATGGATTGCCATGTTTTCGAAGTAGAACAGTAGGCTGCAGAATATTGCAGTGTTGCTTAGAGGTTAGCAAAAGGTCACGTTTTTGCACATCATTCTATTTTTACCTGCATGCAATTTTTTTTTTCCAAGCAGGATAGCAACTCCTTACCTCCCCTTACAGTATAATTTCCTTTTACCCAAGTATCCTTTGTAATAACTGCCTATGGGGTCTGTGGAATTGTAGGATTTGCTAAATGTTTCTGCATTGTATCAAGGGAAATAATTTGGAATATTTTGAAAGCAGTTTGAAATGTAATTATGTCTCAAGTTATCACCTTTATAAAACAAAAAAACTGTATGTAAATTAAACATGATTACAAATGGCTGTATAACAGGTTTTTTTTTTTGTAGTTTCACCCTGAATTCTTCTTTTGATAATAAAATGATCACTGTTAAGTTGCCGCAGTCGTGATAGCGTTTTCAGACGGGTTTTCAAAGGGACGCCCCGTGGGGGCCTTTGTTGAGATGTCGGCCTGCACTGTGTGGCTCACAAAGTGGTGGGGGTTTGTTTCTGTGGCAGGCTATTGAGCGCCTGAAGGGGCAGACCCCCACCTGGGAGAAGGTGTCGTGCTGGGAGGGCATGGAGGAGGCTTTCGGGGGGCCTCTCTCCCTTTCCTGGTTCAGCCCCTTCTCTGAGCTCCGCTGCCGAAAGAGGCCCTCCCCCCGTGTCCACGCCGCACCCGCCGGCACCATCATCGAAGAGGACGTCATCGAGATCCCGCTGGAGTACTGAGGCGGGGACGCCGCTGGCCTTCCATGCTTTGGGGACAGTGACTCTGACTTGTAACTTTGGTTTCACTTTTTGACTCGTGCAGATCCTATGTTGCTCGTTGTACAGCCACATTGCGGTCTGCAAAGTCGAAAGTCGTAAAGATTCACTCACACTAACGATAACTGGATGAACAGCACCCACCTGAAGCTAGTGTATTAATTTCCCCTCCAGGTGACAGCAGAGCTGCTTAGATGCTGTCCAAGCTAATGCTCCAGAATGCATACATGTATAGAATAGTTTGTATTTATTTGCAATGTGGCAAAGACAGACCATGTGCCTTGTGCTGCTAATGACCAGCATTTAACTTGGATCGTGGGAGTTTTACTTACACAAAAATGTTTTGAGGACAGATTGAGAAGTGATTGGTTTAGAGAGTCAACCAATCAGATGGCTTGGTCCCGCCTCCACTTGTTGCTTGGACCAACCTCCTCTACAATCTGATTAGTTATCTCTCTCAACCAATCATCTTTCATTCTACCCTCAGTACATTTTTGTGTAAGTGGATCTCCCGTGAGTGTTAACTTGGCCCCGACGGGTCAGTGTCAGGGTGCAAGCAGGTAAAGGGACACAGGTATAGTGCCTTTATCATCCAGCTTAGACGCATCTTCAGTGTACTTTTTATACACACTTAAATGGATTAATCATCATATCAGCGTTTTGCTACATGCTGCTACAAAACGAGGCAGGGACCACCATAAGGTCTGTTCTGGGAAGGTGCTACAGGTGTGTAGGTCACATGGGCGGAAGTGGCATTACAAGTGGAAGCTTTATTTGTGTGACAAAGACAACTGGATCTGGTAACTCTGGACACTGTGTATCCTGTCTACTGAAGTTGATAACACCTCAATAAAGTTTACCATTTTTATCACCTTCCTCCCCATTGTGTGGCCTTGTCTAAAGAGCTGCTGAATGTCCGCTTCAGTTTACTAGGACCTCATTGGTGAGCAGTCCTCAGTTCTTGCCTCTAGAGCAGGGGTCTCCAACTCCAGTCCTGGGGAGCTACTATCCAGTAGGTTTTCTGTCCCACTTGGCTTCTGATGAGCCACAGCTGTTCTCAGGTAAATACCAGCTGTGACTCATCAGAAGCGAGGTAGGATAGAAAACCAACTGGACGGTAGCTCTCCAGGACCGGAGTTGGAGATCCTGCTCTAGAGGGAGCTACATTGTGGTGGGGGCTACAGCACAGAGCAGAGACTGTGTGTCTGACCCTGAGGGATTAACACAGGTCTCCTGCATCCCTAATTACTCCCGTGGGAGGCAACAATGATGAGAGCTTACAGCTGCCACCCAAAGCTAAGAACCAATGAGAATCAATAAGAGCAAAGGGGCTCCTACTGAGGACCAATGAGAGCAAAGGGCATCCACTGAGGGCCAATAAGAGCAAGTGGGTTCCCATCTGCCTTCTGGGATGTACTGATACTGTGCCAGCAGCAGACTGCAGCCGTCAATGAGCTATAACTTAAACATTTTGTTTTGAGTAAAAACTACGTCAAGTTCATCTATGTAACAAGTGAAATGCAAGTTCTATGTATCCTACACCTTACTGCCTGGTATCTGTCTGTGAGAGCAAAGCACACCTTGCCAAGTCATTAACCTGCTGATTCCACAATTTCATCCCTCCAGCTTCCATAACCAATTATACAGTAGAAGGTCACAGTGAGGACAGGAGGCGGGGCCACCATGGAGGGGGTGCCAGACCATGGCAGGGCAAACACTCACACAACAGCGCGCTGTGGGATATTTCAGCACAGCAGTCCAAGCCGCACGCCTTTGACCTGTGGGAGGATACCGCATTAGCCGTGGGGAAAATAAGCAAACTCCGTCACAGACACAAAGCCAGGTGTGGGAATGGTGCCCAAATGCTGGAGGTGCGATGGTCCCAGTGTGCTGCTTCAGTAATTAACAGACCATAATCCTGCTCACTCAGTTTGGATATTTAATTTCACACTCCTCTTCTAAAACTAGCTTTCATTTTGAACTTGTGCCAGACTTATTTTACCATTTATTTACCTTTTCATCAAGCTTTTACATAATAGTGACATGCACTGTATTGTGAAACAGAAACTGCTCTTGAAGCTGATGATATAACAGTTTGGTGGTCATTGGCAGAAAGGAGAATCCCAGGTCGCCTGTATTCTCTTCCAATTATCTATGGGGTCGATTTGACCCCACACCACATGTAACGTCTCTAAATAAATGATTGACATCATTTTTCTGCTTCAAATTCAATGACTTATCCTAATTTGATGGGAACAACTGGGTAAACATAATATTAACATTATCTTTCTGTTATGTTATGTGTTATGTTATGTTATGTTATGTTATGTTTTATGTTATGTTGCGTGTTAGCACACACTCTGCACATCATGTGCACAGTATGCTAAGGTCCAATTGAATCTACAGGATAAAGGATGTTCCCAAATGTGAAGGCTATTAATAGAATGGATACAAACACATTTCAGAAGGGAACGTGATAAGCATTGGTGACTAGAAGCTCTTTTTGAGTGTGTTGATACGCTGAGGATGTGTCCCCTTAGAATGGATCTCGGAACTTTGTGCCATGTGCCACTCAAATTACACTGGCCAACAAATTTTTACTTTCTTTTTGCTACACAAATCAAAATAGGTGAGTCTTACAGTACTGTTCATGCTGCATACCAATATCTAATCATAATTTATTTATCATGCAAGGATTTTGAGTTACACACAACTAAACCTTACGCTATACATATATATGTGCATACTGGAAGTGACTCATCTTAAAGGTAGAATTATATGATTTTCTGCTGTACTTGGCCTCAGGAATGTCCCTCTTAGGGGTCCAGCAGAAGTCAGCAAGCACACTGGGACTCCACTTGCCTTGATATCATTTTTGCATTTCAGAGAGAGAGCAGGACCCTCCCTGCCTCAATACATCCAAACATGTTACAGCCTGTAAAATCTGGCAAAACAAACACAGTTCTTTGCCCCCTTCTGTAAAGTCATAAAAATGTTCAAAAATGGAAACAAAATTGTTTTTCCTAAATTACTCTTAAATATGCCTGTACTTTATTAATAAGGGCATATTAATAATATGCTTTCAATATAGGCAAAAAATAACATAATTGAAAAACTAAAGGTGAGAGCAAAATTCTGAGCGAATTTCCTAAATCAGCATTAAAAAGTACATAAAAGACACCCCTTACTCGTTCTGTGAAAAAGAATCGTTAACCAGTATTATGCAAAATACCCATATTTTAAACATTTTACAATAATTATAAGAAAACTGGCCATTTGTCAAAAACCTAATGTGTTGAAAATTTTATTTCTGTGCTCAGCATCATAAAATCCATCTGGCACACCAAAAATTGTAAAGGAAATAAAAACCTTGCAAACCAGTGTAGGTAAACATGATTAGCATGATTAGCATGTCTTTAGGGTTCACTTTCATAGTCATGCACATGGTTGAAATGTGGCAGTGTAAAATAGCACAATGCTAATGCTAACTGCTATGTGTGAATGGTGACATTTTTTAGTGGGTTTCCACTTTCATTGTGGCATTTCAGTTTGTTTTATTTTCCTAGGGGAATGTGGTACAGGGACTGATGTGTTCAGAACAGGCACCATGGATTTTCAGAGCGACCCAGTGAGCCTCTGCTAATCAAGACATGTCACGGCATGTTTAATCTGAAAGGTGCTTCAGCCGACAAACCACAGCAACAGGGGAATAACCATATATTACGGGAGCATGAGGGAGTTGTCCTTTAAACCTTCTCTCAAGCACACAGCCTTCCCACTCAATCCACTCTTCAGTAATAAAGAAGCCTGAATATTCTAAGAAAATCCTTTTTTCCCCTTTAAACACATCATCCTGTCACATAAGTACAGGACTCGGGGAGACTCAGCATCCACTGTCTCAACTGTCAACCCAAACCACGCACAAAACATATAGAAATGAATCTCAAGGCTGAGTCTCTTTGTCAGTATCTGGCTGTCAAATGTCTAACAATGTCATCATATTATTTTCAGGCAGTTCTATAGCAGTTACTGTAACTTACACTTGCTGTTCTTGACATTTTCTTCTTGTTACACTCCTGCATTTGCAGTACATATAATATTGGTAGTATACAGTATTGTTCCTTGATAGAACCAACCAACCAACTCTCCATCCATCCATCCATCCATCCATTCTTTTTCCATAACATAGTACAGGCTCACAATATCAATAGAATCAATATTTTGGAAATATACCTGTCTCATGACGCAAGTAATTTTGCAACTTGTACACATTGAAGGTTAAACAAATTTTAAAGGATGATGCACTATAAAGGTTTATCAGGAACAGAGGTGAACATTTCAGGTCCAGACAGTACAAATCGAGATCAAGATTTTGTTTCAACCAACCAGTTCAGCACTCTGAGACTGTGACTCTTTATACTCAACTGTTTGGTTGAAACAAAGTGTTGGTCTGGATTTGTACTTCCTGAATGTGAACTTTCCACCTTTGATATATTGGGCACTCTCTTGTTACATGTATTTGCATGTTTAATGTATCCTCAGAGGTGCTGATGGTAAATG